ATGTTCTGTATACTTACGACATTTTTTTCTGTCTGATTATTCTGTCAGTTACAGAGAAATGTTTATTAAGATCTGCAACTGTAATTGCGGGTTTATCTCTTTTCCTTTTAGTTCTTTCAGATTTGCTTTATGTATTTTAAAGCTGTGTTATTTGTCACATACAGATTTTATTATATCACCCTGTTCGTTTGACACATCATTGTGAAATGTGTTTCCTTTATCTATCTTAATGGACTTTTTTTTAGTCCACTTACTCGTTTTTGAGGTATAATTCACATACTAAAATTCATTCTTTTAAATTCTACAATTAAATGGTTTTTAATATATTCACAAAGTTATACAACTACCACCATTATCTAATTGTGAACATTCCAGAAAGAAATCTCCTATTCATTAGTAGTAGTTCTCCCATATCCTCCTACCCTGAGTCCCTGGCAACCACCAATATACTTTCTTTGTCTCTATGGATTTGACTAATCTGGACATTTTGTTTATATGGAATCAAATAATATGTGGCCTTTTGTGTCTGACTTCTTTCATTTAGCAAAAAGGCTTTTACTATTCATCCATGCAATGGCATGAATCAGCACTTCATTCTCTGTTTTAATAGCTGAATAATTTTATTGTATGAACCTGGTACATTTTGTTTCTTCATTTTTCAGTTGACGGACACTTTGGTGGTTCGTACTTTTTGTCTACTATGAATAATATTGGTATGAATATCTATGTACACGTTCTTGGTGGATATATGTTTTTATTTCTCTTGGTTTAATACCTAGGAATGGAATTGCTGGATCATAAGGTATTTGTAGTTTGTAAAACTGCCAAACTGTTTTCTACAGTGGCTGCAACATTTAAATTTCTACGAGCAATGAGTGAGGGTTCCAGTTTCTCCACATGCTTGCTTGCTGGCTCATTCAATTTACAAACTACAATAATGTACTGGGATTGAAGTTTACCATCTTGATTTTTTTTTTATTTGCCTTTTTCATTCTCTGTGCCTTTATTCTTTCCTGCTTTCTTTTGGATTAATCAAGTATGCTTGATTTTTCAAAATTTTCTCCTCTATCAGATTTTTAGTTATACATTTATTTATTATTCTTTGAGTGGTTACCATAGAGATTGCAACTTTTATCTTTGGCTTATTGCATTCTCTAAGATTGGACTTATTTCACTTCTCAAAAAAGAGGACTCTTAAACTGTGTGCATGTACGTTTCCAATCCTCTGTGCTTTGTTTATTATAAACCTCAGAGGATATTATTTTTGTGTGCGCATTAGTTAGTTTTAACACCAATATTTACTTAAATTTTCCTAGACTTTGTTCTTTATTACACTCTTTGTTCATTTCTGTAGTTCTGGGGTCAGTTTCTTTTGGTGGGAAGAATGCTCCTTTTATTTTCCAGTTTTTCTGGTGGGAAATTCTTTCATCTTTTGTTTGAAAATAACTTACTTTATATGATTTTACAAGGAGGAGAGTTCTAGGCTGGCTATATTTTTCCTTTTATTAAGTTGAAGATTTTCTCCATTATCTTCTCATTTCCATTGAAATATCCTCTGACATTGTTATTTATTGCTTCTTTGAAGTCAACTTGTCTTTTTCTTTAAAGATTTAAAAAAAATATATTTCTATTGATTTCAGAGAGGAAGGGAGAGGGAGAGAGAGTTAGAAACATCAATGATGAGAGAGAATCATTGATTAGCTGCCTCCTGTATGCCCCCTACTAGGGATTAGCCCGTAACCCAGGCATGTGCCCCGGATTGTGATCGGACCTCGGACCAAACCCAGGACCTTTGAGTCTGAAGGCCGGCGCTCTAGCCAGTCAGCTAGACCAGCTAGGGCCAAACCGGCTAGGGCAAATAATTATCAAACAAAGAGTAAAATAAAATTGGAAATGCATCTCTTCCTGAAATAGATATTTTGAAATTAGTTTATATATTTATGGATACATATCACTTAATGCTGGAATGGATGCATGCATATTTTACTTACATAAGAAAGAGGAGCTGAAGAAGCCTTACTTACAGAAAATGTGTTGCTGTTGTTGCTTTGTTCTTTTATTGAGCAAAAATTTATTCCAGGCACTGGTTTAGACTCTGCGGATAGAACCCTGAACAAAACACACGAATTTCCTGCCTTTGTGGAGCTTATATTTTGAACGGGGTAGGAGGAAATGTAATTAATTAAATATATAAGATGTTAAGTGGTGGTATGTGCTATTGTAGAAAATGAATGCAGAGTAGTAGGGTTACAGAGGGTAGGACAGTGTGAAAGGATAGTTGCTAGTTATAACTAGTACACGGTGGGCACAGACAGCCTCTGGGACAGCGGTTCTCAACCTGTGGGTCGTGACCCCTTTGGGGGTCGAAATATATTTCTATTGATTTCAGAGAGGAAGGGAGAGGGAGAGAGAGTTAGAAACATCAATGATGAGAGAGAATCATTGATTAGCTGCCTCCTGTATGCCCCCTACTAGGGATTAGCCCGTAACCCAGGCATGTGCCCCGGATTGTGATCGGACCTCGGACCAAACCCAGGACCTTTGAGTCTGAAGGCCGGCGCTCTAGCCAGTCAGCTAGACCAGCTAGGGCTCAACTTGTCTCTTATTCTCTAGCTGTTTTTAAGAATATCTTTGTTTTGTTTTTTAAATACGTAGATGCTTTTTAAAAATCCTGCTTGAGGACTTCTTCAATCTGTAGTTGGATGACTTTCATCAGTTTTGAAAAGTTTTCGGCCATTATTTTTCAAATATTGCTTTTGTCCCTTTTTCACTTTCATTCTATTTCTTATCTCCGAGTTGCTAGTTTTTGACATATTTGAGACCTTTTACCAAGTCTCTTGTGTTTTATGCTGTTTTGTGTATTTCTGTTTCTATTGTCTTTGTTCTTCAATGTAGAACCATCTGCTAGTTCACTAATCCTCTCTTTAGCCATGCCCATTGTTCTGTTAAACCCATCCATTGAGTTCTTAATTTAAGATATTTTATTTTTAGGATGAACATTTTTTTGTTTTTCATAATTATAAGTTTCTTTTGAAGTACTTTATCTTTTCATCTATTTTATTATAAACATACTTTTCTCTGAACGCATTAATTATAAATATTTTTAACAGCTTGATACTGAATTCTTCTTACCAGTTGTGTCTCTCTCTTCTACCCATGCCTTGTCCTAGTGCAGTGATGGCGAACCTTTTGAGCTCGGCATGTCAGCATTTTGAAAAACCCTAACTTAACTCTGGTGCCGTGTCACATATAGAAATTTTGTGATATTTGCAACCATAGTAAAACAAAGACTTATATTTTTGATATTTATTTTATATATGTAAATGCCATTTAACAAAGAAAAATCAACCAAAAAAATGAGTTCGCGTGTCACCTCTGACACGCGTGTCATAGGTTCGCCATCACCTAGTGATTGCTTGTGAGTTAGATCATCTTGGATATTCCTGTCTTTCCTTAGAGTTGAGGCCAGTAGTAGGTTGCCACGAGACCTCAGTTTTTTGATGGATTCAAGAAAAGTTATGATTTCGTAGATTATCTGTCTTGTTGTGAGGCTGGGAGTGATGCTTTCTACATCATAACCAGAAGCCAGAAATCCGTCATAGCCACTTTTAAGACCCTTTCTGATAATTCTAAAATCCGAATCAAACGTGACTCTTTCTCTGTTTTGACTGTGTTTTTTAAAAATTTTGTTCATTTGTTCCTGTTTTCTTAAAGCTCGCCTTATAATGTTTATTGGCTACCAGTCAAGGTGGATGAAAAGTTGCAAGGGGCCTGTAGAATGTTATTTTCCTCTGAAGAGAGTTAATTTTTCTTTTGACAGTTCTGACCATGCCCGAGGCTTGGTTTGGGGCTTTGTTTGAGCTCGTCTATTGCTGTTTTGTCCTTAGTCCTGAGGCATGGCTTTTCTGGAGTCTCAGTTGAGAGTCCAGGTTTCTTTGTTTTGTTTGTTTTTTCAGTGCCCCTCTGTTTGGGGCAGTGCTTGCCAACCTCCATTTCCTCAGCTTGGCCAGCCTGTGATATGTCTGCTGGGCCCACTAGTTACCCCGCAGCTGTTTTTTGATAGGTTTCTTGGCATCTTGTCCTACATACTTACAAGCTGAGGAATCAGTTCACAATTTGAGGGGAATTTCCATGTCTATTTTTGGACTCTTCTTCTACAGGTCTTTGAGGGGTGGCATTTTTTTACCCTGAATCCCCATCTGCTTTGATGACCCCAACATCCAACCTCTGCCTCTTCAGCCTAGTTACGCTATCATATTATCCTCAATCATTGATTTGTATAGTCTGTTATACAAAAGGAATGATTAAGTATGAAATTTGCTTCATGGGTTTTCTTCTCTCAAAGAATGTAGCCCCAGATATTCTGTTTGTATGGATTGCTTTCTTGTGCCTTCAGGCAAGAAGCTTTATATGATTTGTCTAAAATTTATAGTTATTCTCCTTGAGAATGTTAGTTTAATACACTGTCCTCCATAAATTGGAAAAAAAAGTACTGTATCTGTCCCTTCATCCTGAAATTTTACTAATGCTTAGCACAGTTCTTTAATATTGACCACTGTTGCAAATCTTTTCAAGGTACCAACTATGTTGAACTGATAAAAATCAGTCCTTATATAATAACTAGAAGCCCAATGCACAAAATTCGTGCAAGGGGCTCGGACCTCGCAGACCTGGCTTCATCTGGAAGGTCGTCCGGATGGTTGTTCTGCTGTTTGGTCTAATTAGCATATTAGCTCTTTATTATACAGGATTATCACAGATCATAAAAGTTAACTAGTTAAAGACCTCAGTTTTATCTCTTGGAATAAAAGCAGGTGTTTGGTACATCAGGAAAGATCCCAAAAACTAGAGTAGAAATAGAGGAACAATATTAGCCCACCAAAGCTCTTTTAAGTAAACTTTAAATCTCACGTAATTTTCTGTTCTTTGAATTGTAGTCATTGGAAAGTTTTTATAGAAGCATAAATTCTTATCAGAGTCTCTCACGTTTTGATCTCTAGGAAGATGAAGTCCTCGGTACATTCTGAAGAGGATGATTTTGTTCCAGAACTACACAGAAACGTCCACCCCCGAGAGCGGCCCGATTGGGAGGAAACACTGAGCGCAATGGTAAATCAGCGTTATGAACGTGGATGCATGCATTTATTACAATATATTTTTATCGATTTCAGAGAGGGAGAGGGAGAGATAGAAACATCAATGACCAGAGAGAATCATTGATTGGCTGCTTCCTGCACACCCCTACTGGGGATCAAGCCCACAACCTGAGCATATGCCCTTGACTGGAATCAAACCCTTTGGTCTGCAGGCCGATCGATGCTCTATCCACTGAGCCAAACCGGCTAGGGCAAATAATTATCAAACAAAGAGTAAAATAAAATTGGAAATGCATCTCTTCCTGAAATAGATATTTTGCAATTAGTTTATATATTTATGGGTACATATCACTTATTGGTGGAATGGATGCATGCATATTTTACTTACATACGAAAGAGGAGCTGAAGAAGCCTTACTTACAGAAAATGTGTTGCTGTTGTTGCTTTGTTCTTTCATTGGGCAAAACTTTATTCCAGGCACTGGTTTAGACTCTGTGGGTAGAACCCTGAACAAAATACACGAATTTCCTGCCTTTGTGGAGCTTATATTTTAATGGGGTAGGAGGAAATGTAATTAATTAAATATATAAGATGTTAAGTTGTGGTATGTGCTATTGTAGAAAATGAATGCAGAGTAGTAGGGTTACAGAGGGTAGGGCAGTGTGAAAGGATAGTTGCTAGTTATACTAGTACACGGTGGGCACAGACAGCCTCTGGGACAGCGGTTCTCAACCTGTGGGTCGCGACCCCTTTGGGGGTCGAACGACCCTTTCACAGGGGTCGCCTAAGACCATCGGAAAACACATATATAATTACATATTGTTTTGTGTCACAGATCATAAAAGTTAACTAGTTAAAGACCTCAGTTTTATCTCTTGGAATAAAAGCAGGTGTTTGGTACATCAGGAAAGATCCCAAAAACTAGAGTAGAAATAGAGGAACAATATTAGCCCACCAAAGCTCTTTTAAGTAAACTTTAAATCTCACGTAATTTTCTGTTCTTTGAATTGTAGTCATTGGAAAGTTTTTATAGAAGCATAAATTCTTATCAGAGTCTCTCACGTTTTGATCTCTAGGAAGATGAAGTCCTCGGTACATTCTGAAGAGGATGATTTTGTTCCAGAACTACACAGAAACGTCCACCCCCGAGAGCGGCCCGATTGGGAGGAAACACTGAGCGCAATGGTAAATCAGCGTTATGAACGTGGATGCATGCATTTATTACAATATATTTTTATCGATTTCAGAGAGGGAGAGGGAGAAAGGGAGTCTCTGCTTCTTGTGAATAGGCTAAATGGGGAGGTAAAAGAGGAAATAAGGAGACCAGTTAGAAGATTATTGGATGAATGATAATGATAAGCTTGAACCAGGGTGGTAGATAGGATGATAAATGGTTAGATTCTGGATATAGTTTTACAGATAAAAGCCAACCATTTGTTTTGGCTGATGAATGGGCTACAGAGAGTGAGATAAAGAGAAGTCAAGGATGACTTCAAGTGTTTTTGGCTTGATCAACCTGAAGAATGGAGTTTACATTCACTGAGATATTGGAAAAGCACTTTTTTGGGGGGGATTAGGTGGACCAATCCCATGCAGTATAGTTTTCCACATAAACTTAAAATACCCATTTAATCTAGTATATCATTATGTAATTCCGGTCTCTTAATAAGAACAATGAAATCTTTCTGTGGAAAGTAACATTTTATTTAATTGTAAATAAAAGTTAGTGTTTCTCATCATGAAAATTGAATGCGAATGTTCATCTGTCAGTGCAGATCAGTAATGAGATTTTACATATTTCACTTTTGAAAATGCCTTTTCACTCGGATATGTCCTGCCAAATACTCACATCTGTTTGTGAGCATATGATTTTAATTGAGCATATTCATTGCTTAGAAGGCATTTTCAGGACTCTATTAGATTTTTCGTTTAATATTTGCCGTTTAGCATAACATTGCAAACTTCGATTTGAAGGTTAGAAGGAAGCGCCTCTGTTGCACAGTGAAGTGGGTTTTGCAATATGGAAATTTACTTTGCATTTGCAGTGCAGTCTGAAAAAGCCTGCTGGAAGTGGAGTTGGAGCTTGGAAAATATATGCACTGCAAGTTGATGTGGGGATGGAGATCTCCCATCTCTGTTTCATGTTTGATAGCTGGGAAGTATGTATAACTGCTCATGATTACTTGCCAATCTGACAGTATTATTCCCGTGTAAGTTTTGCCTTGTAATTTTAGGTAGAATTCATTAAGAAATAGCATCAAATGTGCAGCAAAAACTAATTACAAAGGCCATTTAGTGTTCAGTAACAGAGGTTGAAAGGATGTCCAATCCTTTCTCTGCTCCACACATATTTTTTTGCCCAAATCAGTTTTAATGTATCTTAGTAGATTCCACTTCAGGTTGTACTGGACTAATGTTTGCTGAGTTTATTTTGAGAATATTGTCACCTGTAGTTTCCCTATGCAGACAGTTCATAGGAGCTAATTCTTGAGCCATTTTTAAACTTGGCATTGACTCCTCGACCATTGAGCAATATTGGCTATGTTTGAGAGTCAAGGAAAGCCAATTGCAGTCATTTGCCTTGTTTTTTTAAAAAATATACTATTGATTTTGCTCCCAATAATCTCAACTCTTCAGACAGCCGTTCTGACCAAAAGGCTAATAGGCTTAAACAGTCTGTTTTCTCTGGATGCATTTCTTTGGCAGCTGCAGTCAAATACGATTTAATGGGTTCACCACTGGTAAGTGGTACCATGACTTTCCTTGTTGGCTAACCAATGAGCTACCTGGAAATTTACTTTGGATGCAGTCTTGTTTCTGTTTTTGTGAAGAAGTCCTGTGTGGTGGTAATAACCTTTTAGAATTTTGGAATTTTTCAGATCATGGCTTTCCTGTTAGTTGAGAATATTGTGATGAGTGCAGAGTTTGGTAATATTGATGTATATTCTATCTTTCAGCATAACTATAGTGTCATTGGGTAATAAGCACAATGTTCTACCATCTGATTTGCTAACAAAACCCATACTCTTCTGTGCCTTTAAAGCGTGACATTCAAAGTCCACTTGTCTCTTCTTTGCTTATTTTTACATGATCTGTACCAAGTGGTAATTTAAAAAATGTGGTATGGTGATACCTGTGGAATTTGAAATGCTGTTGAGTTATAACTCAGCTAGAGGCCGGGTGCATGAAATTCGTGCAAGAGGCTCGGCCCTCACACTCTGGCTTCGTCCGGAAGGTCGTTTGGCTGTCTGGTCTAATTAGCATATTACACTTTTATTATTATAGATACTGCAGTTTATGGTGTGCATGTGGATTGATGAGAGTGCCACGCAAGGTCTCTCACAGCTACTCAGCCCTGTCATTGTAACATGAGAGCAGCCACAGATAATACATTGAGTGTAGCTGTGTCCCAATAAAATGTTATTTGTGGACACTGATATTTGAATGTCATGTAATTTTCACATGTCATTAGATAACGTTAAAAAAATGTAAAAAACATTTTTAGCTTATGGGCTACACAGAAGCAGGCAGTGCGTGGGTTGGCCCTGGATTCGTGGCCCCTGCCTTGTTATATAATTGTAACTTAAGAGGTAAGACTCTTTTAAACCTTCCAGACAGAAAATGCTTTTATTTTTACTTCTCATATGTTATTCATATCTCTCTTGTAATACTTACTCTCATCCTAGTTGGCTAGTCATATCTCTATTGTAATACCTACTCTCATCCTAGTTGGCTGTTTTCCTTACTATATTGTGAGATCTCTGAGGAAGCATGGGGATCATTTTGTATTCATTTTACTGAAGGATGAAGTTTAGAAGAGGATGTAAGCATGACTCTCAGACAAATATAAAATGAACACATACCAAAGATATTTCACTCATTAATTAATGAAGGAATCAGTCAAGTGTTACAACTGGTTCAAAGGAGAATTCGATGTTACAAGTTCACTTTTCTGCGGAGGTGTAAAATAGCCAGGCAAACAAAGCAAGCCCCACACCCCTGTGGAATCAGGTAATCCCTGGAGGTGCCAGCATTCCATTGAAAGGATGGATATTCAGTAATCTCTGCCATTTTTAAATCTTCCACATTTTCCCCCTACAATTCTTATAACCTCCCCAAAACCTACATTGAATTTATGGAATGGGAAGAAAGGTGTTATCTGTTATTATATGGTGGTTTGTATTAAAATGTCACATGCTGCATACATTGAAAGCTAATGAATTATCCTTTTTGGAGTCCACATTGATTTTTTTATGGAAATTACCAATTATATCATCCTAGAGGCCCAATGCACGAAATTTGTGCAAGAGCAGGCCTTCTTTCCCCTGGCTGCCGGCACCAGCTTCCCTCTGACACCCTGGATCCCGGCTTCGTCTGGAAGGTTGTCCGGAAGGACACCTGGTCTAATTAGCATATTATGCTTTTATTATTATAGATGTGGTAGCACCTTATTGTATTATTATTTTGGTATTCTAATTTTTTCATGTGTAAGTTGTTTTTTTTTTCTCACTTGAGGATCTTTTTCCCATTGAAAAAGATCCTCAAGTGAGGATTAACAATCAATGACATGTCTTTCAGTGTTCAGGTTATTCATCTCCTTGGTTAAGTTTATTCCTAGATGTTTTATTCTTTTTGATGTAATTATAAATGGGATTGTTTTATTAATTTCTCTTTTTGATGGTTTGTTATTTGCATTGAGAAGCACAACTGATTTTTGTATAATGATTTTGTATCCTGCAACTTTGAATTCATTTATTGGTACTTACAGTTCTTTGGTGGTACCTTTAGGGTTTTCTGTATGTCACCTGCAAATAGTGACAGTTTTATTTATTCCTTTCCAAATTGGATGCCTTTTTTTTTCTTCTTGCCTAATTGCTCTGGCTGGGACTATGTTAAAAAGACAAGGTGAGAGAGAGGAGGCATCTTTGTCTTGTTCTTGATTTTGGAAGAAAAGCTTTCATGTTTGAGTATGATGTTAGCTGTGGGCTTGCCATATATGGTTTTATTATGTTG